CTGGCCGTTCCCAGCCACCGCAGCCTCAACCTGCTGGGCTCCGGCGATCCTTCCGCCTCAGCCTTTCAAGTAGCCGGAATTACAGGTATGTGCTACCACGCCCGGCTGATTTTTTTTGATTTATTGTAGAGATGAGGTTTCGCTGCCCAGGCAGGTCTCGAACCCGCGGGCTCAGGCAATCCACTCACCTCAGCCTCCCAAAGGCGCGGGATTACAGGCTGAGCCACCAAGCCCGGCTCCCTGAAACCTTTTTAACATAAGCATTTACTGCTATAAACTTCCCTCTAAGCACTACTCTAGCTACATTCTGAAAAGTCAATAATGACTTTAAATAACAGCCTTAATAAGAAATCAAAACCATTAACCAACAGGGTTGATTATCACATGGACAAAGTCAAATTCATACCAACTGAGTTTTCATCATCTTCTAGGATGTGACTTCGCTGTCTAGGATGACCTGAAGCCATCATGAGGTCATCATCATCCTCATCATCGTTTATAAATCCTTTTGAAAAAGAGGGAATCTCAACTGCATTGTCATTTAGAAAATCACCAGCATTACTTGTATCATCTCCATCAAAAAGGTCATTGTAATCCTTTTCCACTCTGTTAGATATCTTGAACAAATTCAGACAAATTAAAAGTATTAGTGAATTATCTGGAAAAACTCAACTACTCAAAAGGCAATCTTTTAATACAGACCCATAAACTCTACCAAGTAAGCAAATGCCCTGAAGAATAAAAATAATTAATAAATGTATTTATGAGGACTGTATTTATATAAGATCCAGTTCTGACAGTCTGGGCATGGGGTAGGAATACAGGGACAGACATGCAAACATATACAATAAATGCCAAAAAGTATAAGGAAAGATTTTATTCCTCAAAAGTCATTCCTCAGAAAAGAAGTCACATTAAAATGACCAAGTTCCTACAAAGTCATATTGTAAGACATCCTTTCATTTGTTTGGAAGAAGATACTACTTAGGTAAAACACATTTGCTTTAAATGATCTCAGTGAAATGTAGTTTTTTTGATGCTTATAGAAATAAAGTGATAGAGATAAAGAAAAACAATGGAGGCAAAGAAATTCAATGTATATTTAATAATTATTTTCTAGAAATATGAACACACCCTTGCCCAGATCTGAATTTCACTGTAAACAAATTTTAGATCACTTTAAAAAGCGAAATGGTGAAGAACTGCTGGAGTCCAGTAGGTTGAGGGTGCGGTGGCCGGGAACGTGCCATTGCACTCCAGTCTGGGCGACAGAATGAGACTCCAACTCAAAAAAAAAACGAAATGGTGAGCAGACACAGTGCAGAGATCACAAGTTAATCCTACAAGATGAGTGAAAACTGTACAAATAGTAAGCCAATGACAACTTTTAATTGGGTGTAAAATTCTAATAAGAACACTATTAATGGATTAAAAAGGACAGTATCAGAAATTGTGCTCTGAAAAACTGATGTGGAATAAAATAAGAAAAAGCCCTTTTAAATTCATTCATTAGAACATATAATTTGAGTAATTAAATTAATAAACACTATAAGAAGATATTTATTAATTTAGAGACAGGGTCTTATTCTGTCACTTAAGCTGAAATGCAATGGTACAATCACCGCTCACTGCAACCTTGAACTCCTGAGGCTTTAAGCAATCCTCCTGCCTCTGTAATTGAGACTACATGCACATACCACCATGCCCAGCTAATTTTTTATTTTATTTTTAGTAAAGATGGGAGCCTCACTATGTAGCCCAGGCTGGTCATGAACTCCAGGCCTCAAGTGATCCTCTTGCCTTGGCCTCCCACATAAGCCACTGCATCCTGCCTATAAGAAGATATTTAACCATTCTCTCTATAGTCCTAAAAGTTTATGTACTCAAGTTGGCCAAACATTTTTTGAATTTTCTTATTGTAAAATAAGGGTTTTCTGTAAGAATGGCCATCATTAGTAAAACAAACAACAACAGATGCTGGCAAGGATGTGGAGAAAAAGGAACGCTTCACACTGCTGGTGGGAATGCAGACTAGTACAACCTCTTTGGAAGACAGTGTGGCAATTTCTGAAAGAACTAGAAATTGACCTTCCAAATGACCCAGCAATTCCCCTACTGGGAATATACCCAGAGGAACTCAAATTATTCTACAAAAAAGATACCTGCACACATATGTTGTAGCTCTATTCACAATAGCAAAAACATGGAACCAACTGTGTTGCCCATCGAAGCTGGACTGGATTAAAAAAATGTGGAACATATACACAATGGAATATTATGCAGCCACAAAGGACAAATATATGGACTTTGCAGCAAATTGGATGGATTTGGAGTCTATCATACTCAGTGATTTAACATAGAAACAAAGAACAGAGTTCCATATGTTCTCACTCATAAGGCGAACTTGAACAACTATAATGCTATAAGGAAGTGACTGGCAGTAGTGGAAAACTGTCAGGGGAGGAGGGGTGGGACTGGCAGTTGAGGGGAACTTCTAGGGGAAGGGCATACCTCATCAACAAGGGTACCTGAAAGATCAATGTTTGTATACCTAACCCTGAATTGTACCCCACACCTTTATAATAAATAAATAAATTTTAAAAAATAAAAAATAAAAAAAAGTCTCTTATCTAAAAAAAATTTTTTTAAATAAGTGTTTTGTCTTATGTTTATGGTAAGGGCCAAAAATTATAAATAAACATGTGAAATATGTACTGTGAAGAGTAAAAGCAAACAGGAAAGGGTGATGCCTTCTGGATAGAAGGCTTACAGATTTCAGAAGAGGTGAACTTGAACTAAAAAATGGATTTATTAATTTAGTGTTTCTGTCAGTTATACAAGTATATATGTTAGTCAAACAGTTCTGCAAGGTTTATTATGAAATGAAAACAGTCCTCTGCACAGTCCCCCCTTACTTCCCTGCAGACTAAAGCTTTCCAGCTCTTTTAGTTGTTTGACACGTCTTCCACACATGTACATAAGCCCTAGCACTACTTTGTTTGAATCATTACCTGTTTAATAGGTCCTATTAGCTTCCGTCTATGAAAGGCGAGGACTGGGTGCCCTACCACAATCACCCCCCGCCCCATGTGTGCATGTACACTGCTCTCTTACCCCAACCTTCTCAACAGAGAGGTATTCTCATGTCCATCCAATCAGTATACAGATTGTAGGTTATCACGTAAATGCTTCTCATAGCTCAATGAAAATAATAACAGCCAACACCTAAAACAGTTCCGTGAGACACTGTTTTAAACACGTAATCCATGTAACCCTCACAAACCACTAAGTGGTTGGCAAAATTTCTATCTTCGTTTTACAGCTGTAGTATATTATGAGCACTTTTTCTTTCTTTTACAACTTTTTGTTTTCCCTGGACTTAAGAATCTCTCTCCTTAGAGCTTTTTCTCTTGGGTAGAGTCCCCAAAGATAATGCCTCCAATCTCCTGCCTGAAAAGTGTGTAAGACTGACTGACACTGTTCTTTCTGGGAGCCAAGAAAAGCGGGCTAGGAAATTCAACATTCAAGAATCTATACTTTCATTTAATCCTCTGTGTTAGTACAGTGTTCCTCCCTTACCCAATGCTACTCAATTGAACCCAGGGTCCCTAAGCAAGGACCATCTCTCTATTACGTTTTCTAGAAAATAAATCTCCAGCATCCTGCCAGACTGTACGTGGGGCTGGGGGAAGGCAGTTACCTCGCTGTGCACACTGATCTTAAAACTGCTTCAAGCTGGGCTCGGTGGCTCAGCCTGTAATCCCACGCCTTTGGGAGGCTGAGGTGAGTAGACTGCCTGAGCCCGCGGGTTCGAGACCCGCCTGGGCAACTTGGCAAGACCTCATCTCTACAATAAATTAAAAATTAGCCGGACGTGGTAGCGCACGTCTGTAGTTCCAGCTACTTGGAAAGATGAAGCAGAAGGATCGCCAGAGCCTAGCAGGCGAGGCTGCGGTGGCCGGGAGTGGCCACTGCACTCCAGTCTGGGCGACAGAGTGAGACTCCAACTCAAAAAAAAACTGCCTCCAGTCTTTCTTGCTTACTAAGCCAGCCCTCCCACTTTCAGCCCCACTTAGCAGTACCCAGTGCTAGCACATTCTGAATCTTCAGGGATTCAGTGAGGCAAAGTGACTAGCATCTCAGCTTTTCCTTTTCCTCTACAATCTTAATAGTCAACTTTTTGAGAAGGTAAAGTTGGGTTTCCAAGCATCCTTCTTTTTTCCTAGTCTCCTACATTTTGTTATTATCATCACTTCAACTGTCTTCTTTAACCTTATGGGACTATACATTAAAAAAAAATTCCTTGGGCATTAGTCCCAACAGCTGAACTGTCATCACTGTCACCATCTCTAATCTCATTCGGGTCCCACCATCACCATCATGCCTCGAGGAAGCCGCAGCACTGTCACACAGCCAGCCAGCCGCCCCGCCCCGCCCTCAGCCCACCTGCTCGCGCACCCACCACCTCCAGCAACCACCCTGATCCTCACCCCATCGGGCCAGTCAGCCTCATGGCTCAGATAGCGTCCACAGCCGCAGGGGCAGTCATGGGCTCAGCCGTGGGACATGTCATGGGGAGTGTCCTGACTGGAGCCCCCAGCGGTGGGAGCTCCAAGCCCGCCCAGCCTATGCCCAGTAGGCTTCTGCCTGTGCTGTCCCCCAGTCCCTGCAGATGGGGCCCTGTGCCTATGAGATCAAGCAGTTCCTGGACTACTCGACCACTCAGAATGACCTGTCCCTTTGTGAAGGCTTTGGCAAGGTCCTGAAGCAGTCCAAGTAGAACCATAGTCTGAGCTCCCTGCCCTGAAGTCAATGCTGACTCAGGGACCAGCTTTGCACTCACCCCAATCCCTCACCGACAGCTGGACCATGATGCCAGATTGTACTCTTGTCACTGAAATTGGGAATGAAGATAGGGTTTCTCACCCCACAGATAACATTTGAGAAACAAATGTGCAATTTTAAAAGTTTAATGAAAAAAAATTCCTTTAGCATTGTTTTAGGGGGGACTTATGGAGGAGCAGAGAAAAATGCATGCATTGGCTGGGTTCGGTAGCTCAGCCTATAATCTCAGCACTTTGGGAGACCAAGGTGAGTAGACTGTCTGAGCCTGAGGGTTCCAGACTTGTTGGGAGCCGGCCACGGAGGCCCAATGAGCGTTAGGGATCAGGGAGGGCCGTGGGCCTCGAGACCGCTAGGACGTGTTCGGGAGCCGTAGACCCCATTTTCCTCCTCCTTTTGCCATGCAGCACAAATAACCTAAAGGAACTCTGCTGGCCTAAGCTGAAGGCTCTGTGACTGTGACAGGCATGGCTCACTCTAGAAACCCATTGTTCCTGTTTCCCATAAACTGCGGTTTCGGCTTAGGTATTAAATATAATTCAAACTCAGGTCACATTTGGGAGCCTTTTATACGGTACAAGCTTCTTTATAAGATTTAAAAGAATATTTGTAGAATTAGTATATACTTATGGAGAGCTGTTTTCAGCTTTTCAATGGTACAGATGATTATCAAGAGTGGCCCAGCACAGAGTTTGGGCTGGGCCACATTCCTGAGAGCCCAGCACGTACTTTGGACTGGGCTGCATTCTTTTATGCCGGTTTTAGCTACAGTTAGTGTAAGGTCTTTTTTCTACCTGTTATAGAAATTGAATTTATTTTATTCATAGAAGGTATTGTAGAATAGGTCATGCTACGAATCATGTTAGTTCAAACATAATCAATCATAATATTTTTAGGTTTAATAAGAATATAGTTAACTTTAGAACTGTCATTGTCTCCACTTTCTACTATCGAAGTTTTGGCCTTAGTACATTTACAGTTTAAATTTAGGTTTTAGAAGCTTTGCCACTACTAATCAGCTTTATATATTAGAATTAAGAATTGGAAAACTTTCATAGAAATTAGGATAGATATATAGGACTTTGGAATAGCCATTTTGTTAAGATATTGTAGTCTATTGTTCCAAAAGGTGGCCCACCGTGGACCTTAGACTGGGCCACATCCTGTAGGGCCCAGTGTGATCTTTGGACTGGGCCACATTCTTTAGGAAATTGGCTTAAGCTATAATTAAAAGCTTCCATAGCATTGTGTAAATAGTAAAGTTTAAGATAGTCATCATGGGTTTTGTGTGAGCTCTAGAAGTTATTGATTATCAGAGCATCATTAGGCTAGTAAGGATTGTTACACTGCTTTTGAAGAACATTAACTAGCAAAGGGAAGAACGAGACAATCTTGGGGTTTGTTCCTCCTCATACCTAAGCATCTGGTGGGGTGGGGGATGACCTCCCCCCGCACCTGGCTTTGTGTTCATGTGAAAGACTTGTGAGACTGTCTGTGTAAAATTTGGGGATAAATACCTGA